CCTTAATCACGCTAACACTGACCAGTTAAAACACAGACCGTTTAAACACACTAGCACTGACCAGTTAAAACACTAACCATTTAAATACACTAACACTGACCAGTTAAATCACAGACCGTTTAAACATGCTAACACTGACCAGTTAAAACACTAACCATTTAAATACACTAACACTGACCAGTTAAAACACCGCCCCTTAATCACGCTAACACTGACCAGTTAAAACACCAATCTCTTAAACATGCTAACACTGACCTGTTAAAGCACTGACCGTTTAAACACGCTAACACTGTCCTGTTAAAACACTCACCACTTAAATGCGGTAACACTGACCAGTTAGAACACTGACCATTTAAACACCCTAACACTGTCCTGTTTAAACACTCACCGCGGTAACACTGACCAGTTAGAACAATGACCACTGAACACAGAACACTGAACACTGACCATTTAAGTACGCTAAGACTGACCAGTTAAAACACCGACCGTTTAACCACGATAACAATGACCAGTTATGTGTAAAGCACTGTGTGTAGAGCGATGTGCGTAAAGTGTTGTGTGTAAAGTGTTTGTAAAATGATGTGTGTAAAATCTTGTGTGTACAGTGTTGTGTGTACAGTGTTGTGTACAGTGTTGTGTGTACAGTGTTATGTGTACAGTGTTGTGTACAGTGTTGTGTGTACAGTGTTGTGTGTACAGTGTTGTGTACAGTGTTCTGTGTACAGTGTTGTGTGTACAGTGTTGTGTGTACAGTGTTGTGTGTACAGTGTTCTGTGTACAGTGTTGTGTGTACAGTGTTGTGTACAGTGTTGTGTGTACAGTGTTGTGTGTACAGTGTTCTGTGTACAGTGTTGTGTGTACAGTGTTGTGTACAGTGTTGTGTGTACAGTGTTGTGTGTACAGTGTTGTGTGTACAGTGTTGTGTACAGTGTTCTGTGTACAGTGTTGTGTATCTAAAATGTGTGTAAAGTGTGTTTAGGTTCACTCAAAACTCAGAGTTGTTTGTTGTTTATGCTGTTGTTTACAGTAAACACATAAACAGAAATTGAGCTAGAGCTAATCGGAGATGCTAACAGTGAGAGTGGTTGAGTTATAGAAGCTCAGAGTGAGAACAGAGTTTATATTAATCCAGACTGTCCTGTTGAAACACTGACCGTTTAAACGCGCTAACACTGAGCAGTTAAAACACTGACCGTTTAACCCTGATGACAATGACCAGTTAAAACACACACCACTTAAACACACTAACACTGACCAGTTGAAATGTCATCCGCTTAAACACGCTAACACTGACCAGTTGAAACATCAATCACTTAAACACGCTAACACTGACCAATTAAAACACCGACCGTTCAAACGCGCTAACATTGACCAGTTAAAACACACACCACTTAAACATGCTAACACTGACCAGTTAAAACACCCACCACTTAAACACACTAACACTGACCAGTTAAATCACCCACCACTTAAACACGCAAACACTGGTCAGTTAAAACACAGACCATTTAAACGCGCTAACACTGACCGTTTAAACAAGCTAAATTGACCAGTTAAAGGACCCACCATTTAAACAAGCTACACTGACCATTTAAAACACTAAGCATTTAAGCATGCTATCGCTGACCAGTTAAAACACCAGCCACTTAAACACGCTAAGAATAACCAGTTAAATCACCCACAACTTAAACACACTAAGACTGACCAGTTAAAACACCAAACTCTTAAACATGCTAATACTGGCCAGTTAAAACACAGACCGTTTAAATGCGCTAACACTGACCAGTTAAAACACCAACCGCTTAAACGCACTAACACTGACCAGTTAAAACACAGACCGCTTAAACACGATAACAATGATCAGTTATGTGTAAAGCACTGTGTGTAAAGCGATGTGTGTAAAATCTTGTGTGTACAGTGTTGTGTACAGTGTTGTGTGTACAGTGTTGTGTACAGTGTTGTGTGTACAGTGTTGTGTGTACAGTGTTGTGTACAGTGTTCTGTGTACAGTGTTGTGTGTACAGTGTTGTGTGTACAGTGTTGTGTACAGTGTTCTGTGTACAGTGTTGTGTGTAAAGCATCTAAAATGTGTGTACAGTGTTGTGTACAGTGTTGTGTGTACAGTGTTGTGTATCTAAAATGTGTGTAAAGTGTGTTTAGGTTCACTCAAAACTCAGAGCTGTTTGTTGTTTACGCTGTTGTTTACAGTAAACACATAAACAGAAATTGAGCAAGAGCTAATCAGAGAAGCTAACAGTGAGAGTGGTTGAGTTATAGAAGCTCAGAGTGAGAACAGAGTTTATATTAATCCAGACTGTCCTGTTGAAACACTGACCGTTTAAACGCGCTAACACTGAGCAGTTAAAACACTGACCGTTTAACCCTGATGACAATGACCAGTTAAAACACACACCACTTAAACACACTAACACTGACCAGTTGAAATGTCATCCGCTTAAACACGCTAACACTGACCAGTTGAAACATCAATCACTTAAACACACTAACACTGACCAATTAAAACACCGACCGTTCAAACGCGCTAACATTGACCAGTTAAAACACACACCACTTAAACATGCTAACACTGACCAGTTAAAACACCCACCACTTAAACACACTAACACTGACCAGTTAAATCACCCACCACTTAAACACGCAAACACTGGCCAGTTAAAACACAGACCGTTTAAATGCGCTAACACTGACCAGTTAAAACACCAACCGCTTAAACACGATAACAATGATCAGTTATGTGTAAAGCACTGTGTGTAAAGCGATGTGTGTAAAATCTTGTGTGTACAGTGTTGTGTGTACAGTGTTGTGTACAGTGTTGTGTGTACAGTGTTGTGTACAGTGTTGTGTGTACAGTGTTGTGTGTACAGTGTTGTGTACAGTGTTCTGTGTACAGTGTTGTGTGTACAGTGTTGTGTACAGTGTTGTGTGTACAGTGTTGTGTGTACAGTGTTGTGTGTACAGTGTTGTGTACAGTGTTCTGTGTACAGTGTTGTGTGTACAGTGTTGTGTGTACAGTGTTGTGTACAGTGTTCTGTGTACAGTGTTGTGTGTAAAGCATCTAAAATGTGTGTAAAGTGTGTTTAGGTTCACTCAAAACTCAGAGCTGTTTGTTGTTTACGCTGTTGTTTACAGTAAACACATAAACAGAAATTGAGCTAGAGCTAATCGGAGATGCTAACAGTGAGAGTGGTTGAGTTATAGAAGCTCAGAGTGAGAACAGAGTTTATATTAATCCAGACCTTTAATCCCACTGACTGTAATCTCTCTTTCTTTCTGTTTCCCTCTATTTCTCCGCCGTCACAATGACTCTCCTTTTTGTCATCCCTCGCTCCACTCCTCCTCCTCCTCCTCCTCCTCTCTCTCTCGCTCTCAACCATCACACTGACTCTCCTTTTGTCACCCCTTGCTCCACTTTTCCTCCTCCTCTGTCTCTCACTCTCTGTCTCTCTCTCTCTCTCCCTCCAGTCAGATTAAATCAGTTCAGCAGCTTTAGCCCCACCCCCATCACAGCCCTCACCGCACAGACAGAATCCCCCCTGTAACCATGGAAACAGGAAAGACGGACACTGAGGGTCTCAGCAGACCTACAGGAGACCCCTCCCCACAGAGAAAGAGAGAGAGAGAGAGAGAGAGAGAGACAGAGACAGAGAGAGAATGAGAGAGAGAGAGAGAGAGAGAGAGAGAGAGAGTGAGAGAGAGAGACAGAGAGTTAGATTATGAAATTAAATGAATGTGCAGTGTTCTGTGTATTTGAGAACTCTGGCTCTCTGTGATTGGCTGAGCCTGAACTCTGGCTCTCTGTGATTGGCTGAGCCTGAACTGTGGCTCTCTGTAATTGGCTGAGTCTGAACTGTGGCTCTCTGTGATTGACTGAGCCCAGTGTTAAGGGATTACATCACATCTCTCCACGGCGCTGCTGCAGGACAGAGAAACACTGACACCTGCTGGACAAACACAGCATTACACACTGAGCTCATCAGAGGTTTTTAATACAGACACTAATAAAGGAACAAACGTTCAGATCAGCACAGAGGGAGCGTTACTGCACTCTGTCCTGTGGAGGGCGACAGAGGACAGATTACAGCACCTGAACGTCTTGTGGTTATTAGCGCTGCTGAATCAAGCTACAGTTAACGAGTTTACGCTTTTGAAACTGAGTGTTTGAAGCTCTGTTTAGTTGATTGATTTATTTAGTTCACAGTTCAGCCTCTTATGTTCTGTGAACTCTTTTTATGTTCTAGTGAAGACTCTGTGATCTGGCCTCTGGCGCCCCCTGCAGTACGCAGCTCATTCAGCTGGTTTTCATTTTTTATCACAGTTAACAATCACATTTTTTCACTGCTAGTTTAGTGACAGTTTTGGTTAATTATAATAACCTTGTTATCTACAAATTCTTCATTTATCAGCAGATTTTTGTGAGCAGATCAGATAAAAATAATCCACTTGTACAAAGAGGGAGAAAGTCAAAGTACAGGAGTTTCCAAAGCTGGAGTTTAAAACTGATTAAAAGCTCCAGAGAAAATGTGGCTCCTAACAACCACCTGGAAGAGCTGGTCGACCCCAAAACTGCCCCCATCAGATAAACAGCACTTAAAGCTTTCATCTCTGAGAGAGAGGAGAAAATCAAGCTGATCAGATCTGAAAACATCCACAGGTGTTTCTGTCCATCCTTCCACTGTGAGAAGACGACTCAGCGCTGTGGGTCTGAAAGGATGTGTAGCTGATCAAGAAGAACCTCACTGAGAAAAGGAGACGGACACATCAAACAAAGAAGCTGAACGATGGACTGACCACCCCAGAGTCCAGACCTCAACACCACTGAATGTGTTTGATTACTTCAGAAAATGATCAACCAGCTTCTAAGACTGAACTTTGGAGGTGTGTCTGCAGATTCTTTGAGGAGCTGAAAGTGAGTCTCCTGAAAAGAATGGAAGCTGGAATAAAGGGAAAGAGAGACTCACTGACAGCTGAGATTAGATTTAGCAGCTGAGGATTCTGGGTAATTTTATTTTATTGCGTCATAGTTTTCTACTTTTTTCCAGGAAAAAAAAAAACAAAAAACATTTCCTGGAAATGAGTCAGTTGTACTGAATGGCTGTTCAGATAGGAAATTAGAATAATGAAGGGGGTCTCTGACTTTTGCACAGTGCTGTATATGGTTAATTCGATTAGTTCAAACTACACAGTAAAAACCCTCATTTAAAAACGCTGAAGTCACATATTCACACTGATTCTGTTCGGTGTTGCAGTTGTTTTGTTATGAAATGTTAGTGTTGATAAATTAAACATGATGAAGAAACTCAATAAGACTTTAGTCTAAAGTCCGGAACATGTTTAACTCTGAACCCATCCAGCTGCAGTGAGTGTTGACTGGACAGGGTTCAGGTCAGTTTGACCAGGCTCTGCTGTGGCTACAGCGCCCCATGCTGGAGGGCTCAGAACTGATGGCGGTGGGCGTCTGTGTTCACGGCAGGTCCATCATGCTCCTCTGCTCCAGCTCTCTCTGAGTTCTGTGGTGAACCTCTCTGATGGCGCTGATGATAAGAAGGATTATTGGCTCCGCCTCCTCCTGCGTGTGGACGCATACGATGGGCAGCAGCGCCGCCCTGCTGGGCATTGCCTTGAACGCCAGCTGAGCCGCCCGCTGCAGGAGCCAGGGGTGGTATGGCGCTAAAGCCTCCGCGTAGGCCTCGGCACACAGCTCCCCCAGGCTGCGGCCCCCGTCGCTGCGGCCCCTGTCGCTGCGGCCTTCATCCACCACTTTTTCCAGTAGCAGCTGCAGCCACAGCAGCGACCGGTGGAGGCGGAGCAACGTCCGGCTTCCGGAATCCGTCCGTCTGTCAAATTTGACCACGTCCCTCTGCAGCTCTGCCTCCAGCATGGAGCGTACGGAGGAGTAGGCGTGCCGCAGGGGATTGTGGGTACACTGAGGGTCAGGGGCAGTGAGGAAACTGAACTTAGCAGCTTCCTCCTCTACCAGCCGGCGAATTAGAGTGATCTTCTCCTGAACTTTCCCCGTGAAGAAACTCACCAGAGGACCAAGAGCCTCCATGAACCTGAAACACCCACAACAACCACAGAGCTCTCAGGGTCCGCATGGGGGTCCGCACTTACATATTATCTTCGTAACAGATACTGAATAATGCATACTGGGTTCTCAGTAACACACAATGGATACTGAATAGTTCATATTTGATACCAAATAATTCATAGTAGATAATGATAACATCAGGTTATGGTAATGAGTGCATACTTAATGAGCTCCTCCCAGCAAAGCAGGTATGGCTCCAACATGACATCAGAGGCGGGGCCGAGGGCAGAGTTTAAATACAGCAGGAGGCGGGACACCTGGAAATTCTGCCCAGGACACACCCCTAACACAGCGTCCTCATTAATATTATTATTAATAACATTCTCATCATCAGCGCTGGGGCTGACAAGCCAACCTGCAGCAGCGGCAGACTCCACCTGAGAGAAAGAGAGGGGTGGGGAGAGAGAGAGATAGGGATAGAGGGGGGGAGAGAGGGGGGGAGAGACAGAGGGGGGAGAAAGAGAGAGGGGGGAGAGATAGGGATGGGGGGAGAAAAAATTTTGCCTGTTTTGTAGATTTCAAGAAGGCATTTGATTCTATTCGGCATGAAGGGCTTTACTATAAACTTCTACAGAGCGGTGTGGGGGGTAAAGCTTACGATATAATCAAATCAATGTATTCGGGAAACAAATGTGCAGTAAGAATTGAAGACAAACGTACAGAATTCTTCACTCAGAAAAGAGGAGTGAGGCAGGGCTGCAGCCTGAGTCCAACACTGTTCAACATCTACATTAATGAGCTGGAACAGTCTGCAGCTCCTGGACTCGCTCTACAGGATGAGGAGGTGAAGTTCCTGCTCTACGCAGACAACCTGGTGCTGCTGTCTCCGAGCGCAGGGGCTCCAGCAGCACCTGGACCTGCTGGAGCAGTACTGCCAGAACTGGGCCCTGGCAGTAAACCTGAAGAAGACAAAAGTTATGATCTTCCAGAAAAGGCCCAGGTGTCAGGAACACAGGTACCAGTTCACTCTGGGCAGCACCACCCTGGAGCACACGATGCAGTACCCTTACCTCGGCCTCATCGTTACTGCATCCGGGAGTTTCAGTGCGGCAGTGAATGCACTAAAGGAAAAAGCTGTCAGCGCTGAACGCAATCAGGAGGAGACTCTACAGTATCGACATTCCCATCTCAATCTGGTGTGAAGTGTTTGACAGTGTGATCCAGCCCACTGCGCTGTATGGGAGTGATGTGTGGGGTCCACTCAGTGAGCACAGCTACACTAGATGGGACAAACATCCAACAGAAGCCCTGCATGCAGAATTCTGCAGAACGATCCTGAAAGTCCAAAGAAAAACACCAACCAATGCATGCAGGGCAGAATTAGGCTGATTTCCTCTGTTAATAAACATTCATAAAAGATCTCTAAATTTCTGGATGCAACTGAAGACGAGTCCCAGAGAAACGCTGCAGTTTAAGGCGCTACAGACCCAAGAACTGAACCCTGAGCAGAGCTCCCTCAGTCAGCTGGGTCTGAGGCTTACTAACCCACTAACAGCTCCCAACACACAGCAGCCTCGCTCAGCACTGCTTTACAGCCCCCACTCTACTTACCCATACCCTCCATACCCCCACTCCATATACCCCCACTCCACTTACCCCACCCTCCATACCCCCACCCCACTTACCCACACCCTCCATACCCCCACTCTACTTACCCACACCCTACATACCCCCACTCCACTTACTCCCACCCTCCACACCCCCACTCTACTTACCCCACCCTCCATCCGCCACTCTACTTACCCATACTCTCCATACCCCCACTCCACTTACCCCCACCCTCCACACCCCCACTCCACTTACCCCCACCCTCCGTACCCCCACTCCACTTACCCACACCCTCCGTACCCCCACTCCACTTACCCCCACCCTCCATACCTCTACTCCACTTACCCACACCCTCCATACCCCCACTTCACTTACCCACACCCTCCATACCCCCACTCCACTTACCCACACCCTCCATACCCCCACTCCACTTACCCCCACTCTCCATAACCCCACTCCACTTACCCACACCCTCCATACCCCCACTCTACTTACCCCCACTCCACTTACCCTCACCCTCCATACCCCCACTCTACTTACCCCCACTCCACTTACCCCCACTCTACTTACCCCCACTCCACTTACCCTCACCCTCCATACCCCCACTCTACTTACCCCCACTCTACTTACCCCCACTCCACTTACCCCCACTCCACTCTACTGACCCCCAACATTGCAAATATCATTAGTTTACTAATTTGTATGGTTATAATTATAAACAGTGATAATAATAATACTGTAATATTGTGATTATAATAATTAATATGGTTGTTTATGTTGGTTCTTTTATCTTATTCTGTTTTCTTTACTGTTTTTGTTGTTCACTTCTACTGTTTTGATGCTTTAGCAATACTGTACCTCACAGTCATGCTAATAAAGCTATTCTGAACTGAACTGAACTGAACTGAGAGAGAGATGGAGGAGAGAGAGAGAGAGAGAGAGGGGGGAGAGAGAGAAGGATGGGGAGAGAGAGGGGGTGGGAGAGAGAGAGAAGGGGGAGAGAGAGAGAGAAAGAGAGGGAAAGAGAAAGAAAGAAGGAGAGAGAGGTTGAGAGAGAGAGAGAGGGGGGAGAGATAGGGGAGGCTGAGAGAGATTGAGAGAGGGGGAGAGAGAGAGAGAGAGAGGGATGAAATAAAGGAGTCACAGACCTGCAGTTAGCTTAGTGTAGCTTACAGAGAAGCTAAACTGAGTAACAGGGCTGTCAACAGAACAATCAGCGCTCAGACAGTCAGAGAATCCAGAGAGAAAACAGACATTCGAGTGTAGAAATCGTTCGTCTGGGTCTCTGCAGTGGCTCTTACTGTGATTCAGGCCTGTTAGCTCCACATAAAGGCCACCAACCGGGCAGAAGAGCCTCCTTTACTGACCAAAGATCAGAGAAATCAGTGATGTGGCTGTAGTTCGGAAACTAAATGGAGAGAAACCCTGGAAACGCCTGACAGCGTTTACAGTTTCTGAGTCTCCAAATGCAGACGCCCTGTAATCATGTCAGTGTTCATACAGGCACAGCTGCGCTCAAAATTATTCAACCCCTCGAAGTTCAGGACAGTTTGGTAATATAAATGAAATTAAATGGAAATATTTTCACCGACCTATTTGTTACAGTCAAAGACAGGTTATTATCACATTTTCAAGTGATTTTGTTAACATAAAGCTGAGTTTCCTGCCAACAATTTAAATGAAAAATCATTCTCTCCACAACAGTCGATGTGGAAAATTATTCAGCCCCCAAAAGTCAGTATTTTGTGGCGCATCCTTTATACGTTATCCAGGAACTCCAGGAAACCTTTCCGGAAAGTGCTCACAAGCTTCCAACATCTCTCTATTGGAATTTCTGCCCATTCTTCATCTTCAGTAATGTTCCTTGGTTTCAGTGCCACCAGTTTTCTTTAAATCCCCCTGAACATTTTTAGTGGGAAATGGGATTTAAATCCAGGGACTGAGATGGCCACTCAAAGACATTCCAGGACCGACTCCTGGGGGGCAGTTGGGGGTTAGGTGTCTTGCTCAAGGGCACTTCAGTCACGTACTGTCGGCTCAGGGGATCAAACCAGCGACCTTCTGGTCACGACCGCTTTTGGTACGATTAAATAATTGGTTCTCTTAGTTTCTGTGAGCTTTTTTTGGCCATGTTTGCTGCTGAGTTTGAACTCATGCATGAGTGGGATTTATAAATGTATCACAACTGAACTGAATTAACTGTCATTCTAAAATTCCCAAAGGCTTTAATTTGTCTTAAACAGTCTTAAACAGGGGTTGAACAAATATGAAGAAAATATCATTTCACTCAGAAATATAAAACATTTTCACCGTTAACTTTAATTGGTCACTCAATTGATACACAGGAAGGTAAAAAATTGAATCTTAAAAAAAGTGTGAATTTTAAATTCTTCCTCTTGAGTAATTTAAGTGCCACTGTTTAACGTAGCGGAGACGCTAGTTTAGCTGTTCAGCTAATGAGTCGACTGTCTGTCTGTCACGGATTCCTTCTTTTCTCCCTCTGAGTGTCTGTTTCTTCCCCTCTGTTGTAGCCATGTGTCTTTTGTTTTCTTGTACCATGTGCTTTTGTTGTTGCTCTGTGTCTCCTCCCTGGTCCTGCCCCCTTGTTATCTGTTCCACCTGCTTGTAGCTCCGCCCCTCATTAGTCCCAGGTGTGTCTCATTTCCCCTCTGTGTATTTATACCCCTGTGTTTGTTCAGTCTTCGTCTTGCATTGTGAATGTAACCTTGTCTCTTGTTTGCTTGTTGCGTTTGTAGTTTGGTTTTGTTTTCATTATGGACTCTCATTTCAATGAAAACTCGCATTTGCATCCCGCCTCCATGCCTCAAACATTACACTGTCCTTCATTCACATATTTTATTATTATTTATAAAAATAAGACCCTAAACAAATGAAGAAACCTAATGGTTTTGCTTTCTAATGGGAATTGGCCTAATGGTTTCCAATAGAGACCACTAGTTTCCTGTACAACAGCTTTAGGTCCCATTACGAAACCATCAAATGCATTTAGAATCAGCCACTGGTCACCTGTTAAACACATGTTAGAGTCCTTTATATCAACCCATTAAAAAAGATCAAACACATTACAAAACCATCAGGAACCAACAGACACACTTAATGGTTTCTATGTTTTGTTTTATTTTTTTTCAGCAGGGACCTTCAGTCTGAGAGCTGCTGGTTTGTTGGATTTAGTTACTCAAAAGCAGTAAAACATGACTGATTACTCTGTAATGGACTGTAATGGATTACTTTGTAATCTCACTATTCATTACTTTAATGCTGAGTTGCTCCCTAAAATAGAGTGAAAAGCTCCCTCACAGAAAGTTACTACATGAAATTGTTATGAATTCACTGCCTGATGACTGAGACACTGTTTTATTATCGTTTTGGCCTTAAAACTCCATTCATGGTGGAGGGATACATGCAGGGCCCTGTGAGGCAAAATACAGGGCGATTCACTCGAAAGAGGCCCCGAATACTCTGATTTAACCCCCGTTAGGATGAAGCAGTCTGAACCAAAAAAATACGCTGCATACCTTGACGTATGTGTAATTGATTGCATTACATGTGATGCTGCCAGACACATTTCGACACGGCGCTCCATGTTTTCTAACATATCGGTAAGCATATCAGGGGGAATAGCAGCAATTTAATGTTGGATATTTTCCTTCAAATCTTCCACAGTGCGAGGCTTATTCCGATACCCCAAAGGAAGAAGTCTGATGGTGTCAGATCTGGCGACCATGGCGGCCAAAGAACCTTTGAAATTACCCTGTTGCCAAAGAAGGACTTTCTGCCATGCTCCTTGCCGATGTGTGACACATTGCTCCATCTTGCTGGAAGTAACCTTCTGTTAACTCACGGTCATCCAGTTGATTCATGAACTGTTCAAAAATGTCCAGGTACACATTGGTGTTTATAGTGGTGTCAAAAAAATGGGGCCTATGATGTGCAACCAGGACATCACGCACCATACACCAACCTTTTGATCATGAGCGGTATTTGGGGATTGGCAAATGGATTTTCAGTGGCCCATATACAGAGGTTACAAATGGAGGTTAAATGTCATGGACGGCTGTCCGGCGCCTACCTCATCGCAGGGGCATTCCAGCTTGTTCGAAACTCCATATACTGAGGAGCACATTGCACATTGTTTCGTTCAGATTGCTTCGTCCTAGAGAGAGTTATTACAGAATATTCGGGGCCTCTTTCGAGTGAATCTCCCTGTAGTCCCCAAAGAAAACGTATTATTTCGGATTTTCCACTATTTTCCATCATCAACATTCCATATAAACTCAGAAGACTCGTGTAGGTTCACTGGTTGTTCTGGATAGTAAATAAAATGTCTATATTTGTGTTGTAGTCATGGCAACCCCTGGTTCCTATCACCACCACTATAAAGATATCCGAACCATTTCACACCAAACCACTCTGAATCACTGGAAAATCAGTGGAGTTCCCCTGTAAGGTTTGTTATTGGTTGTTACCTTGTTGGTTTCTGAGCGAACGATGAGACATGGAAGCCACGACAGCTCACAGTCCTGAACTGAACCTTGAGCTGAGCAGAAGAAACACAAACTCAGTCAGTGGAACTGAAGCTCACGGCTGCTTTAGTAAACTCTAAATCCTCAAACCCTAAAATACTCAAATCCTGACGAAGGTCATTTCTGTTTCACTGCCGTCTTCACTCTCCACTGCCCATCAGCTGCATTTATTTATCTATCTACTGATAAATTTGTTTTATTTTATCTTAGTTCTATTTCTGTTATATTCATTTATTTTGATTACCTTTTATAATCACAGAGAAGTTATCAAACTTCGATAGATTAATCAGAGATAATGAACAGAATGTAAATAAACTGATTATATGGATCAGTCACTTCATTCATCTGTAACTCAGCCTGCAGTGGATCAGTCATTTTATTCAACTGTAACTCAGCCTGCAGTGGATCAGTCACTTCATTAATCTCTAACTCAGTCTGCAGTGGATCAGTCACTTCATTAATCTCTAACTCAGTCTGCAGTGGATCAGTCACTTCATTCATCTGTAACTCAGTCTGCAGTGGATCAGTCATTTTATTCAACTGTAACTCAGCCTGCAGTGGATCAGTCACTTCATTCATCTCTAACTCAGTCTGCAGTGGATCAGTCACTTCATTCATCTGTAACTCAGCCTGCAGTGGATCAGTCACTTCATTAATCTCTAACTCAGTCTGCAGTGGATCAGTCACTTTATTCATCTGTAACTTGGTCTGCAGTGGATCAGTCACTTTATGTAACTGTAACTCAGTCTGCAGTGGATCAGTCACTTTATTCAACTGTAACTCAGCCTGCAGTGGATCAGTCACTTAATTCAACTGTAACTCAGTCTGCAGTGGATCAGTCACTTTATTTAACTGTAACTCAGTCTGCAGTGGATCAGTCACTTTATTCAACTGTAACTCAGCCTGCAGTGGATCAGTCACTTAATTCAACTGTAACTCAGTCTGCAGTGGATCAGTCACTTTATTTAACTGTAACTCAGCCTGCAGTGGATCAGTCACTTCATTAATCTCTAACTCAGTCTGCAGTGGATCAGTCACTTCATTCATCTCTAACTCAGTCTGCAGTGGATCAGTCACTTTATTCATCTGTAACTCAGCCTGCAGTGGATCAGTCACTTCATTCAACTGAAACTCAGTCTCCAGTGGATCAGTCACTTTATTCATCTGTAACTCAGTCTGCGGTGGATCAGTGACTTCATTCATCTGTAACTCAGCCTGCAGTGGATCAGTCATTTTATTCAACTGTAACTCAGCCTGCAGTGGATCAGTCACTTCATTAATCTCTAACTCAGTCTGCAGTGGATCAGTCACTTCATTAATCTCTAACTCAGTCTGCAGTGGATCAGTCACTTCATTCATCTGTAACTCAGTCTGCAGTGGATCAGTCATGTTATTAATCTGTAACTCTCATCTGCAATGGATCAGTCACTTCATTCATCTGTAACTCAGTCTGCAGTGGACCAGTCACTTTATTCAACTGTAACTCAGTCTGCAGTGGATCAGTCACTTCATTCATCTGTAATTCAGCCTGCAGTGGATCAATCACTTCACTCATCTGTAACTCAGTCTGCAGTGGATCAATCACTTCACTCATCTGTAACTCAGTCTGCAGTGGATCAGTCATGATATTAATCTGTAACTCTCGTCTGCAATGGATCAGTCACTTCATTCATCTGTAACTCAGTCTGCAGTGGATCAGTCACTTCATTAATCTCTAACTCAGCCTGCAGTGGATCAGTCACTTCATTCATCTCTAACTCAGCCTGCAGTGGATCAGTCACTTCATTCATCTGTATCTCAGTCTTCAGTGGATCGGTCATGTTATTAATCTGTAACTCTCGTCTGCAATGGATCAGTCACTTCATTCATCTGCAACTCAGTCTGCAGTGGATCAGTCACTTCATTCATCTGTAACCCGATCTGCAGTGGATCAGTCACTTCATTCATCTGTAACTCAGTCTGCAGTGGATCAGTCATGTTATTAATCTGTAACTCTCGTCTGCAATGGATCAGTCACTTCATTCATCTGTAACTCAGTCTGCAGTGGATCAGTCACTTTATTCAACTGTAACTCAGTCTGCAGTGGATCAGTCACTTCATTCATCTGTATCTCAGTCTTCAGTGGATCGGTCATGTTATTAATCTGTAACTCTCGTCTGCAATGGATCAGTCACTTCATTCATCTGTAACCCGATCTGCAGTGGATCAGTCACTTCATTCATCTGTAACTCAGTCTGCAGTGGATCAGTCACTTTATTCATCTGTAACTCAGTCTGCAGTGGATCAGTCACTTCATTCATCTGTAACTCAGTCTGCAGTGGATCAGTCACTTTATTCAACTGTAACTCAGTCTGCAGTGGATCAGTCACTTCATTCATCTGTAACTCAGCCTGCAGTGGATCAATCACTTCACTCATCTGTAACTCAGTCTGCAGTGGATGAGTCATGATATTAATCTGTAACTCTCGTCTGCAATGGATCAGTCACTTTATTCATCTGTAACTCAGTCTGCAGTGGATCAGTCACTTCATTCATCTGCAACTCAGTCTGCAATGGATCAGTCACTTCATTCATCCGTAACCCAGCCTGCAGTGGATCATTCACTTCACTCATCTGTAACTCAGTCTGCAGTGGATCAGTCACTTCATTCAACTGTAACTCAGCCTGCAGTGGAACAGTCATGATATTAATCTGTAACTCTTGTCTGCAATGGATCAGTCACTTCGTTCATCTGTAACTCAGTCTGCAGTGGATCAGTCACGTTATTCAACTGTAACTCAGTCTGCAGTGGATCAGTCATGTTATTAATCTGTAACTCTCGTCTGCAATGGATCAGTCACTTTATTCAACTGTAACTCAGTCTGCAGTGGATCAGTCACTTCATTCATCTGTAATTCAGCCTGCAGTGGATCAATCACTTCACTCATCTGTAACTCAGTCTGCAGTGGATCAATCACTTCACTCATCTGTAACTCAGTCTGCAGTGGATCAGTCATGATATTAATCTGTAACTCTCGTCTGCAATGGGTCAGTCACTTCATTCATCTGTAACTCAGTCTGCAGTGGATCAGTCACTTTATTCAACTGTAACTCAGTCTGCAGTGGATCAGTCACTTCATTCATCTGTAACTCAGTCTGCAGTGGATCAGTCACTTCATTCATCTGTATCTCAGTCTTCAGTGGATCGGTCATGTTATTAATCTGTAACTCAGTCTGCAATGGATCAGTCACTTCATTCATCTGCAACTCAGTCTGCAGTGGATCAGTCACTTCATTCATCTGTAACTCAGTCTGCAGTGGATCAGTCATGTTATTAATCTGTAACTCTCATCTGCAATGGATCAGTCACTTCATTCATCTGTAACTCAGTCTGCAGTGGATCAGTCACTTTATTCAACTGTAACTCAGTCTGCAGTGGATCATTCACTTCACTCATCTGTAACTCAGTCTGCAGTGGATCAGTCACTTCATTCATCTGTAACTCAGTCTGCAGTGGATCAGTCATGTTATTAATCTGTAACTCTCATCCGCAATGGATCAGTCACTTCATTCATCTGTAACTCAGTCTGCAGTGGACCAGTCACTTTATTCAACTGTAACTCAGTCTGCAGTGGATCAGTCACTTCATTCATCTGTAATTCAGCCTGCAGTGGATCAATCACTTCACTCATCTGTAACTCAGTCTGCAGTGGATCAATCACTTCACTCATCTGTAACTCAGTCTGCAGTGGATCAGTCATGATATTAATCTGTAACTCTCGTCTGTAATGGATCAGTCACTTCATTCATCTGTAACTCAGTCTGCAGTGGATCAGTCACTTCATTAATCTCTAACTCAGCCTGCAGTGGATCAGTCACTTCATTCATCTCTAACTCAGCCTGCAGTGGATCAGTCGCTTCATTCATCTGTATCTCAGTCTTCAGTGGATCGGTCATGTTATTAATCTGTAACTCTCGTCTGCAATGGATCAGTCACTTCATTCATCTGCAACTCAGTCTGCAGTGGATCAGTCACTTCATTCATCTGTAACCCGATGTGCAGTGGATCAGTCACTTCATTCATCTGTAACTCAGTCTGCAGTGGATCAGTCATGTTATTAATCTGTAACTCTCGTCTGCAATGGATCAGTCACTTCATTCATCTGCAACTCAGTCTGCAGTGGATCAGTCACTTTATTCAACTGTAACTCAGTCTGCAGTGGATCAGTCACTTCATTCATCTGTAACTCAGTCTGCAGTGGATCAGTCACTTCATTCATCTGTATCTCAGTCTTCAGTGGATCGGTCATGTTATTAATCTGTAACTCTCGTCTGCAATGGATCAGTCACTTCATTCATCTGCAACTCAGTCTGCAGTGGATCAGTCACTTCATTCATCTGTAACCCGATCTGCAGTGGATCAGTCACTTCATTCATCTGTAACTCAGTCTGCAGTGGATCAGTCATGTTATTAATCTGTAACTCTCGTCTGCAATGGATCAGTCACTTCATTCATCTGTAACTCAGTCTGCAGTGGATCAGTCACTTTATTCAACTGTAACTCAGTCTGCAGTGGATCAGTCACTTCATTCATCTGTAACTCAGCCTGCAGTGGATCAATCACTTCACTCATCTGTAACTCAGCCTGCAGTGGATGAGTCATGATATTAATCTGTAACTCTCGTCTGCAATGGATCAGTCACTTTATTCATCTGCAACTCAGTCTGCAGTGGATCAGTCACTTCATTCATCTGTAACTCAGTCTGCAGTGGATCAGTCACTTCATTCATCTGTAACTCAGTCTGCAGTGGATCAGTCACTTTATTTAACTGTAACTCAGTCTGCAGTGGATCAGTCACTTTATTCAACTGTAACTCAGCCTGCAGTGGATCAGTCACTTAATTCAACTGTAACTCAGTCTGCAGTGGATCAGTCACTTTATTCAACTGTAACTCAGCCTGCAGTGGATCAGTCACTTAATTCAACTGTAACTCAGTCTGCAGTGGATCAGTCACTTTATTTAACTGTAACTCAGTCTGCAGTGGATCAGTCATGTTATTAATCTGTAACTCTCGTCTGCAGTGGATCAGTCACTTCATTCATCTGTAACTCAGCCTGCAGTGGATCAGTCACTTCATTAATCTCTAAATCAGTCTGCAGTGGATGAGTCATGTTATTAATCTGTAACTCTCATCTGCAATGGATCAGTCACTTTATTCATCTGTAACTCAGTCTGCAGTGGATCAGTCACTTCATTCATCTCTAACTCAGCCTGCAGTGGATCAGTCACTTCATTAATCTCTAACTCAGCCTGCAGTGGATCAGTCACTTCATTCATCTGCAACTCAGTCTTCAATGGATCAGTCACTTCATTCATCTGTAACTCAGTCTGCAGTGGATCAATCACTTCATTCATCTGTAACTCAGTCTGCAGTGGATCAGTCATGATATTAATCTGTAACTCTCGTCTGCAATGGATCAGTCACTTCATTCATCTGCAACTCAGTCTGCAGTGGATCAGTCACTTTATTCATCTGTAACCCGGTCTGCAGTGGATCAGTCACGTCACTCATCTGTAACTCAGTCTGCAGTGGATCAGTCATGTTATTAATCTGTAACTCTCATCTGCAATGGATCAGTCACTTCATTCATCTCTAACTCAGCCTGCAGTGGATCAGTCACTTCATTCATCTGTAACTCAGCCTGCAGTGGATCAGTCACTTCATTCATCTGCAACTCAGTCTTCAATGGATCAGTCACTTCATTCATCTCTAACTCGGTCTGCAGTGGATCAGTCACTTCATTCAACTGTAACTCAGTCTGCAGTGGATCAGTCACTTCATTCATCTGTAACTCAGTCTGCAGTGGATCAGTCATGTTATTAATCTGTAACTCTCGTCTGCAATGGATCAGTCACTTCATTGATCTGTAACTCAGTCTGCAGTGGACCAGTCACTTTATTCAACTGTAACTCAGTCTGCAGTGGATCAGTCACTTCATTCATCTGTAATTCAGCCTGCAGTGGATCAATCATTTCACTCATCTGTAACTCAGTCTGCAGTGGATCAATCACTTCACTCATCTGTAACTCAGTCTGCAGTGGATCAGTCACTTCATTCATCTGTAACTCTCGTCTGCAATGGATCAGTCACTTCATTCATCTGTAACTCAGTCTGCAGTGGATCAGTCACTTCATTAATCTCTAACTCAGCCTGCAGTGGATCAGTCACTTCATTCATCTCTAACTCAGCCTGCAGTGGATCAGTCACTTCATTCATCTGCAACTCAGTCTTCAATGGATCAGTCACTTCATTCATCTGTAACTCAGTCTGCAGTGGATCAGTCACTTCATTCAACTGTAACTCAGTCTGCAGTGGATCAGTCACTTCACTCATCTGTAACTCGATCTGCAGTGGATCAGTCACTTCATTCATCTGTAACTCAGTCTGCAGTGGATCAGTCATGTTATTAATCTGTAACTCTCGTCTGCAATGGATCAGTCACTTCATTCATCTGTAACTCAGTCTGCAGTGGACCAGTCACTTTATTCAACTGTAACTCAGTCTGCAGTGGATCAGTCACTTCATTCATCTGTAATTCAGCCTGCAGTGGATCAATCACTTCACTCATCTGTAACTCAGTCTGCAGTGGATCAATCACTTCACTCATCTGTAACTCAGTCTGCAGTGGATCAGTCATGATATTAATCTGTAACTCTCGTCTGCAATGGATCAGTCACTTCATTCATCTGTAACTCAGTCTGCAGTGGATCAGTCACTTCATTAATCTCTAACTCAGCCTGCAGTGGATCAGTCACTTCATTCATCTCTAACTCAGCCTGCAGTGGATCAGTCACTTCATTCATCTCTAACTCAGCCTGCAGTGGATCAGTCACTTCATTCATTTGTATCTCAGTCTTCAGTGGATCGGTCATGTTATTAATCTGTAACTCTCGTCTGCAATGGATCAGTCACTTCATTAATCTTTAACTCAGTCTGCAGTGGATCAGTCACTTCATTCATCTGTAACCCGATCTGCAGTGGATCAGTCACTTCATTCATCTGTAACTCAGTCTGCAGTGGATCAGTCATGTTATTAATCTGTAACTCTCGTCTGCAATGGATCTGTCACTTCATTCATCTGTAACTCAGTCTGCAGTGGATCAGTCACTTTATTCAACTGTAACTCAGTCTGCAGTGGATCAGTCACTTCATTCATCTGTAACTCAGCCTGCAGTGGATCATTCACTTCACTCATCTGTAACTCAGTCTGCAGTGGATCAGTCACTTCATTCAACTGTAACTCAGTCTGCAGTGGATCAGTCACTTCATTCAACTGTAACTCAGTCTGTATTGGATAAGTCATTTAATTCATCTGTAACTCTCATCTGCAGTGGATCAGCCACTTCATTCCTCTGTAACCCTGCAGTGGATCAGGTGTTTTATTAAGAACCTCATCTAAGTTATGTCTAAACCTGTTTTACTCTCTAATATGATTAGAAAAACTAAATTCAGATTTCAGTACAGTGCTGATCGGATCTGCTCTGCAGGGCTGAAGGTTAAAGGTCAGTTATTATTACAGTGCTGATGGGATCTGCTCTGCAGGACTGAAGGTTAAAGGTCAGTTACCATTACAGTGCTGATCTGATCTGCTCTGCAGGGCTGAAGGTTAAAGGTCAGTTATTATTACAGTGCTGATGGGATCTGCTCTGCAGGACTGAAGGTTAAAGGTCAGTTACCATTACAGTGCTGATCTGATCTGCACTGCACGGCTGAAGGTTAAAGGTCAGTTAATATTACAGTGCTGATCTGTTCTGCTCTGTAGGGCTGAAGATTAAAGTTCAGTTAACATTACAGTGCTGATCTGATCTGCACTGCACGGCTGAAGGTTAAAGGTCATTTAATGTTACAGTGCTGATCTGTTCTGCACTGCAGGGCTGAAGGTTAAAGGTCAGTTAATATTACAGTGCTGATCTGAGTAGCTCTGCAGGACTGAATGTTAAAGGTCAGGTAATATTACAGTGCTGATCTGATCTACTCTGCAGGGCTGAAGGTTAAAGGTCAGTTAACTTTACAGTGCTGATCTGATCTGCTCTGCAGGGCTGAAGTTTAAAGGTTAGTTAATATTACAGTGCTGATCTGATCTGCTCTCCTGCACTGAAGGTTAAAGGTCAGTTAATATTACAGTGCTGATCTGATCTACTCTGCAGGACTGAAGGTTAAAGGTCAGTTAATATTACAGTGCTGATCTGATCTGCTCTCCAGCACTGAAGGTTAAAGGTCAGTTATTATTACAGTGTTGATCTGATCTACTCTGCAGGACTGAAGGTTAAACATCAGTTATTATTACAGTGCTGATCTGATTTACTCTGCAGGTCATTTAATGTTACAGTGCTGATCTTATCTGCTCTGCAGGGCTGAAGGTTAAAGGTCATTTATTATTACAGTACCGATCTGATCTGCTCTGCAGTGCCAAAGGTTAAAGGTCATTTAACGTTACAGTGCTCATCTGATCTGCTCTGCAGGACTGAAGGTTAAAGGTCAGTTATTATTCCCATGCTGATCTGATCTACTCTGCAGGACTGAAGGTTAAAGGTCATTTAATATTACAGTGCCGGTCTGTTCTGCTCTGCAGGACTGAAGGTTAAAGGTCATTTAATGTTACAGTGCTGATCTGAGTAGCTCTCCAGGGCTGAAGGTTAAAGGTCAGTTAATATTACCGTGCTAATCTGATCTGCTTTGCACGGCTGAAGGTTAAAGGTCAGTTAATGTTACAGTGCTGATCTGATCTGCTGTGCAGGGCTGAAAGTTAAAGGTCATTTAATGTTACAGTGCTGATCTGAGCAGCTCTGCAGGACTGAAGGATAAAGGTCAGTCAATGTTACAGTGCTGATCTGATCTGTTCTGCAGGGCTGAAGGTTAAAGGTCAGTCAATGTTACAGTGCTGATCTGAGCAGCTCTGCAGGACTGAAGGATAAAGGTTAGTTATTATTACAGTGCTGATCTGATCTGCTCTGCAGGACTAAAGGTTAAAGGTCAGTTATTATTCCCATGCCGATCGGATCTGCTTTGCAGGACTGAAGGTTATAGGTCACTTATTTTTACAGTGCTGATCGGATCTGCTCTGCAGGACTGAAGGTTAAAGGTAATTTATTATTACAGTACTGATCGGATCTGCTTTGCAGGACTGAAGGTTATAGGTCACTTATTATTACAGTACTGATCTGATCTGCTCTGCAGGACTGAAGGTTAAAGACCAGTTAATTTTACAGTGCTGATCGGATCTGCTCTGCAGGACTGAAGGTTAAAAATCAGTTATTATTACAGTGCTGATCGGATCTGCTCTGCAGGGCTGAAGGTTAAAGGTCAGTTACCATTACAGTGCTGATCTGATCTGCTCTGCAGGACTAAAGGTTAAAGGTCAGTTATTATTACAGTGCTGATCTGATCTGCTGTGCAGGGCTGAAGGTTAAAGGTCAGTCAATATTACAGTGCTGATCTGATCTGAGTAGCTCTGCAGGACTGAAGGCTAAAGGTCAGTTAATTTTACAGTGCTGATCTGATCTGCTGTGCAGGGTTGAAGGTTAAAGGTCAGTTATTATTACAGTGCTGATATGATCAGCTCTGCAGGGCTGAAGGTTAAAGGTCAGTTATTATTACAGTGCTGATCTGATCTGCTGTGCAGGGCTGAAGGTTAAAGGTCAGTCAATATTACAGTGCTGATCTGATCTGAGTAGCTCTGCAGGACTGAAGGCTAAAGGTCAGTTAATTTTACAGTGCTGATCTGATCTGCTGTGCAGGGCTGAAGGTTAAAGGTCAGTTATTATTACAGTGCTGATATAATCAGCTCTGCAGGGCTGAAGGTTAAAGGTCAGTTAATGTTACAGTGCCGATCTGAGGAGCTCTGCAGGACTGAAGGTTAAAGGTTGAGTTACTCACGCAGCCACAGTGAGGACAGGAACAGCAGCACAGTCACCATCACCGCCGGGAGGAAGTACTGACCAAACACCCTCATACTGACTCACTCTCTCTCTCTCTCACTATCTCTCTCTCGCCTTCTCTCTGTGTATCCTTCTCTCTGTATATCTCTGTCTCTCTTTCTCTCTGTGTATCTTTCACTCTGTCTCTCTCTCACTGTGTGTCTCTCTCTCTCTACTTGATCACTCTACTGTACACACTTTCACATAGTCTGTCTCTCTCAGACACGCTTCACTTCCTCTTCCAGTGTGTGTGTTTGAGGTTAAAGTGCACTCTGATCTGTTCTTTGACCGGCAGTCACACACACACACACACACACACACATATACACACACACACACAGTTCTACACACTTTAAAACAGTTACTGTTTATTTGCTTAATTAAATATTATTTATTTACCAAATTTAACACATTTAAGGGAGAAATTTACCAGAGAAATGCAGAGAAATGTCATAGTCAGATGTGTTTTCTGTAGAGGGAAACTGTTAGTCTGTGAATGGTTGAGTGAACATTTTAACTTTAGCTTCACTCTCGGTTGTCTGAGCTGCTCAGTGTAGAGCTGATTAAACTAAACTACAGTCTTACACCGTGAATATAACACTGTAGTGTTATTACTATTAAAGAGACACAGTTTACACAAAGAGTTTTTGTCTCAGAATTCACTTTAGGCCTAGCTTTGTCTTGCCTCATCAGTTGTCAGCGTTAGACTGCTGTACTTCCTCTAAGAGAACCTGGAAAAAGCTACCCTGCCTTCAAAATATCCTTGTCAAATAAGTGAGAAGATAAACTCTAATAAACTGAATCACTGTAAACTTAACATGCTTAACATTTTGTGAAGGCGCTACACAAAAAAAAAATAATAATAATAATAATTTACACCCCCAAAAAGCCACAAAGACTCTGAATCAAACTAAGAGACTCTCCCTCTTTGTATAGCATGCTGGAGTGAGGGACCCCTTAGGATGGGGAGTAGTCTGCACTGACTAAGGTTGGGGGGAAGCATTGGAAGGGGAATCAAGTTCAGCAGAGGCTCTCTGTGCTCCATTAACCACCTGGCTACTCTAGCGCAGCTACAGGGGACTGAGACAGTGCTTTCCCTATGCAGTCTTCTTATGGTTTAGTGAACCCCCTATAAGGGGCCAGCAGCCTGTCATTGTGTTGTGCCACTTTGCACCCCCGGAATGGAAGCTTCTCCTAACCTCCTAGGCCCATGCAAGCTCCCCTACCGCAAAGTGCAGACGATGAGTGTGCAGGTCACATTTCCTTTTCTGTTGCATGCCAGAACTCAGCACTTGTTTCCTAGCATATGCATGTGCTGTGTTTATGCAGTCTTGGAGCTGCTGGTTCTTTTGGGGTGCCTGGGGAGTGACCGAAAACAAGTCCTGCAGGGGTCCTGATTTTGCTCCCTAGCATTAGTATGGCTGGGGTGCATGAGGTCAAATCTGGGACTGCAGCACAGCATGCCATGAGGACCAGGGGCAAGTGTTTGTCCCAGTCTTGCTGGTGAGTGTATGTGATAATAGCTAGCTGCTCTGCCAGAGTGCAGTTGAACCTTTGACACATCGTGATGCTGGTCTTCCTGAGCCACTTGCACATAGTGGCAAACACTTTTGATACAAAGTGCCCTTGGTCATTATGACGGACTCAATGGACTGAGGAACCCCAAACCTACTGAATATCCTTTCAACCACAGGCATTGACAATAGTCTCAGCCTCCTGGTCTGGCAGTGAGTAGATCTCTGGCCATTTGATGTAACAATCAATGGCAGTCAACACAAAACGGTTTCCACCAGCAGTACATGGAATTGGCCCTATGATGTAAACTCCAACTACATGGGCTCACCCATTGGAAATTGCTGCAACTAGGCCTGGGACTGCCCTTGAGGTTGTTTGCGTGCAGTACACAGGTCACAGCTTCTGCAAAGTCCTCTACATCCCACTTCAGTCATCCCCAGTGGAAGCTTTTTTGGAGGCAGTGAAGTGTTTTTGTGACTCACAAGTGACCAGACCCTACTGAGCCATGCAGCCATCTAGGTATGACTATTTAGCATCTCCTCTCCTAAGTCACAGGCTCAGTCCAGGCTGGCTGTAAAGCACCATCCTCTAGGCACAGAGTGTCAAACTTGGCCTACAGCCCTTTTTTATCTCTTCCTAGCAGAGCCAATCTTGTGCAGTCACCCACTGCATCACTGAATGTAGGTGTGTGTCCTGGATTTGCTGCTCAGCCCACTTACTGCTGTCCACTGCTCGCAGTGCAGCACAGCTTTGTTTGGTTGCCTTGCAACCCACCTCAACCTGTATGCCTTCCTCTTGAGTCTCTGGCTTCTCGGTGCACACATTACTTGCATGTTTGTTCACTACATGGGTGCCAGGACATGGTATCAGTGTTACCGAGCTGCTCATCTGCATGGTGGCTACAGTGAATTTGTAAGTCTGCAGCTCCTCTAACCTGCTCCTCTGACTCATTGCAGGTCATAAGCCACTGCAGGGAGGCATGATTGGAGCATGGGATGAAAGGCCTGCCACATAGCTAGTTCTTGAAGTGCCTGAAAGCTAAGACAGCAGCCAAAAGCTCTCATCAAAGGACACAGTACCTTTGCTCAGCTCATTCAGGTTTGCTTCAGGGCCTTGGAAGCTGACTGACAGTCCTCTGACCAGTGGAAGTTTCTGAAGTTTCCCTTTCTGAAGCAAGTGGTACAGAAAACCCCCACACAAACTTCCTGTTATAAGCAAGAGAGCTATGTAACCCTATCTGTAAAAAGCTTTTCATCTATAGGGGGTAGCCTATCAGGTATGGTGTACACCTTGTCTTCTACACTACCAATTTCCTCCCTGCCAGAAAAAAAACAGTTCTTTGCTCAAGAATTTGCACCTCTTAGGGTACAATTTCAGTCCTGCTGCCCTGATTCTTTCTAGTACTTTGTGCAGAGTGGCTACAGCAGTGAAATGAGATTCCATGTGCCAGTATGTCATCCAAGAAGACCAGACTCTTGTTGCAGAACCCCCTCCAGCACCCTTTCCATCAAGCGTTTGAATTTTGCTGGCACACTGCAGAGCCCAAAAGCAAGAACCTTGAAATGCCATAGCCCCCTCTTTGTGTAGAACATTGTTTTGGGTCTAGCTTCTGGTGACGGTAGGTCTGCCAGTACCCACTTCTTAAGTGTAAGGATGAAAAGCAGGTGGATCCGGCCACTAACTCTAAACATCCATTCGCATGTGGAATGGGGCATGAGTGTTTCTTTGCTACCTTCTTGAGCTTTCTGTCTACACAAAAGTGCCACTCACCTCTTTTCTTAGGGACCATGAATACTGGTGGTTCCCAGGGCCTCTCTGATGCCTGCATGTGGTGTCTTTTCTGAAGCCTGGTCTGCAAAGCTGTCCCGGAATTGCTCCAAGATCTGCCACAACCTTTTTCACTGCTGCTCACCAAACTCAGCAGTATGCTTTTTCCTGATCTCCTTCAAGGCTGTCAATTTATGTTCTTCTCTATAAGGGCAGGACTGGGCTTGTGAATTGGGTGGCATTGTGCTCTCACTGCTTTTAGGGCTGGAAAGAGCACAGCATTTTGGCAAGTGAAATTATCTTAAATCTTGTCAATCTATCTACCACTTTTCAATTTGAGAGTGTTGTAAGTATATTGTCAGATTATTAAACTTATTTCATGATGTGTTTTTACCTGTTCTAAGTGATTTTTTAAGTCAAATTATCTCATTATATGGGCCGATAATTGTACTTGTTGTAAGAATTATGCTTAAAACAAGTCAAATTATCTGATAATATAGTGAGACAAAATATCTAGAAATAAGAAAAATAATATAATTAAAAGCTTAAATATATCTCAAAATAAGAAATATTACAAACATTAGATTTAAGATAATTTCACTTGCCAAAATCTAATTTTTTGAAGAGGGGAAGCAGCAATGGTGAGGTTGCCATGGAGGACTAAAGATTAACTCCTAACAGCCATTGGACAGCTGTGGGTCAGTTCTTTCTTTTACCTAACCTGCATGTTTCTGCTTTCATTGGCTTCAAAGGACCACAGGGCCCAGCGTCTTCTCATCGCCTTCTCATTGTCTTCTTTTCAGGCAGGGGCCCTGCCCGACTCTCACACTGTGTTTCTGGTGGCTTTATTATCACCACATGCTGCTTGGGAGGTTCACTTGGCACTCGTTATTTCTCAGAAAATCAAGGCCCAGAATGCACATCTTGCACATCTACTATCCAGAACAAATGGTGCATGTTCTTGCCCCTGACTGTCAGGGTCACCCTCTTCCTTTCATTGGTGCTAACTCATCACTCACAGTGCATATGTGGACTGTCTGTCTTTCAGCTCAAACCCTGCAGGAATCACTTTTGAACAGGCCACCATATCATTTAACCCCGTATTGGCAACTGGCTATCTGCTCAAAGCCTGCTTTACAGGAGTACTTAGGAGTTTTAAATTTACTGCTAAGCATCGCCCCTGTGCGATAACATCTGTTGACATCAGCACTTGGGGTTTCCATCATCGCACCAAAAGCCTGTTGGCTGGCTTCAGTGAACACTAGCACACTCGAGTCCATATGTCACTGCACTCCCTTGGCCTCCTCACTGTACTCACGGCTGGCCAGACTCTCCCTCTGCTGCGCATGAGCAGATGTCTGCTCACCGTTATCCTCCTTAGTTTTCTCTTAAACCCAGTGCTCCATCTCTCTATTTCCTGTTATGAGCTTAGTGGCTAACAGCTAGCGGCTGTGTAGGCCGAATATCTCTGAGTGACGAGTTCTTTACTTTCTGACACCAAATGTAACGTTTACCGCTATTAAAGAGGCTCAGTTTACTGCACACGTTGTTGTGCTTTATTAAAGGCTGTAGTCGCCCCAGCCACACTGTACTAAGAGGGCTTTGTCTAACAGTTTGCTGCAGGCTGAGCTGTGTCTTGCTCCATCGGTTGTCAGTGATAGACCGTCATACTTTCTCTAAGACAGCCCAGAAACAGGCTAATCCACCTTCAAAATAAGAGTCCTGGTAAAGTAACCCAGAAGATAAACTCTAAGAAACTATCACTGTAATTTTACATGCTGAACATTTTGTGAACTGTTCAACATTTTTGCCTTTTTATTTTATATCCATTCAGTTTGTGACTGTAAACATGAATTACTTGTATTCACTGCAGCTGTAGGTTGCTCAGTCGCTCATGCCTTTTCAGATACCTGATGTAAGCTACACTCATACTGAGTGTTCAGATGTACGTGTATTGAAATATTTCTAAATTCCTGTGAAATAACGGATCGGATAGTTTAGATTAGATTAGACTAGTCATAAAACTTTTACACACAAACTTACACATCAAATGTTTTGTCACAGCTGATAAATTGTGTAAAACATAA